AAGCAGAAAGCTCAGCTGAAACTCATTACCTGTTTGTGTTTTGGGCTTAGCCTCCCACCATCTTTTGCGTCTGCGTCAATGGATGCATCTGTTGCGCCTGGCCTTGTGCCTGTGGCATCAGTAGTGGCCTAGGTTCTGACGGTGATCCGTGCAAAAAGAAGCGACAAGGCGCAATAGCACTGGGTGGTCGACTGTGCTGTCAAGGACGACGACCGAACTACTTCATTTCCCTCGGCCACTGCGTTGCAGGCATTGAGAGCTTTCTGCAATATGTTCCTTTAGCACTTGACTGTTGTGCTCCCAGCAGGAGCAAGTCCAGGATATGCTGCCCTTGCGCAACCAAAAACAGCCCACATTGTATGGATGCTGATCCAAGGCTCAAGCATCGGCATAGCTCCGAAGGGCACCATTGGTGCCATAGCACCCATGGGCCTTGCTGTTACTGTTACACTATCTTACAAGGAAAATATGCCAATATGCAAAAAAACATTAAGACACAAGCGGGTACATTTGCGGAGAGTAGCTGGGGAAAGGCCTCACACCAGATTTCGAATAAACGGTCAGAAGCATAAACTCATATATATATATATTTAGATATGAATCCAAAAAATCATCTTTCTGATCTTCAAAGGAGCCGCCTCATCTGTGCAATCATTGCCATTGCCTCAACCCACCGCCAGGTGCGAAGGGCACAGTCGCTCGTTACAGCCTTCGCGGCCACAGAGCTCCGAGCCAAAAATATACAGTTTTAGGTGGGGTTCCAACTGTGGCGCAAATGACAAAGCACCGCCAAAGGAATCTAGAAGCAAGCGAGCCACCTCATACAAAAAGAGCAAAAAGTGCGGAACCTTTTCTCTGCTGGCGCTTCGCTTCACTGTTTTGAACAGGAAAGGAACACCAATGCCATTGGACTTCTGTCCACTCTGGTTGCAGAGCAGTTGTCATTTTCATCTCAGCTCAAAACGAGTCAACGTGTTCTAAGACCTAGGTTGGGGAAACCATCAAAGAAGTCAGCTAGCCTTGTAACGATCTGCAGAGCTTGTCGACTGACTAGGAAGCGATCCACCTTTGGTTGGTCAAAATCTGAGCCAACATGAGCCAAGCAATGACTCAGCGGCCAACAAAGACATGACTCACTACTCAACAACCGGCAGTGGCAAATGTCCTTGCAAACTGCAAGAGCTCGGCAGCCTGAATTATGCTGGCCTTTCGCACAGCCAACTTTAGGCTCCTGTCTCTGCAAGGCTGCAATACCTCAATGTAAGAGTTAGTAAACTTTGCGACGCATCTACGATGGTACCGAGTTTTAAAACCGGAAACTGGGCGGTTCTGGCTTTTGCTCTCTCAGCTGCCGTGTAGGCTTGCGCTTGGCAGCCAAAGGTGCTGATGCCCCATCTAAGGCCCGATTCACCAATGCCTTGGATGCATGATGACATGACATGATAACGATTCGTACATGTGAGTATGTATAAATGTCAAATGCAAAGGCCCAAAGTTGATAAGTGCAAAGCAAAAACAGCTGCCAAAACTAATACAGGATACAATCTGAGCCTTGAGTTCCTGCTGGAGTCGTGCCAAGTCTGCTGGGCTTGGCTTTGAGCTCTTTGGAGGCATTGCATGTTCTCGTCCTTTCGCCCTGTGCTTTGCACCAGTAGCACTTACACTGGAGCTTAAGGATCGCTGCACGTGTCGGCCTCTCGGGCCTCTTGGGCCTCTCGGGCTTGCACTTCGAGCTCTCGGGCTTCGGGGTCGAACTTCACGTGCTCGAAGCTTCGCTTCTGCTTCATGTTGCTTTCGTTCTCTCAAGCGTGGAGTCAGGCTTCGGATTGGCGCACGACCCAAGCGCGGAGAGATAGGTCTATCCTCCAGGTGCCAGGTTTCAGTCCTAGTTCCACATTTACCACAAGCATATGGAGTCTCAGAAGGAGAGCACCGGAGACCAGTGCTGAAAAGGAGATGCGTCCACGTCTCCAGTCCTGGCATCAAGAAGCGAAGCCATACACCTCTGAATCACATGATCAAGTTTCCCCAAATGTCTAGGAACCAAATCATAAGGAGGCGTGAGCTATCCTGCGTCCATACTGCGTTGATACTAGTTACTAGATGTTACTAGTAGCTTAAGTAGCTAGGAGCGTTTTCACTTCCTTAATTAAGTATAGCGGGCTACAATAGAATAAAATAAAACAAATTCACCCTGGACTCGTGGGTGTCGTGTCCTGTTGGCTTGTCGCCTTTTGCAAGAGGCCAGTTGTTTACATTCTGTGGCAGTTGGGTAGAAGGCCATCCTGCGGGGATGGAAGTGACATCAAGATGACAAATGCCAAAATCACAAAGGCCTGCAAATACTACGTACAGTATATACATATCTGCTGTCACACCCTTCCAATAAAGCATGTCAAGCAGGGACTATATAAGTACAAAGGTGCACTTGGTGGCTACTGACTTGCTGCCCCACAAATTGTTTTGCTTTGTTTGAGTTGTGTACTTATAAAACGCTGTGTCGTCATTCGAGGCGCTCGAGGATGGTGGCCACTTGCAAGGTGACCAGTTGCTCTTTTCCCTGGAACAAGTCATTTGAGAGACCAGAGTCACTAGAGGTTTCAGGTTTCTCATTTCACTCGACGAGGTGAGCGGCCTTGTAGTGTCCTTATCCAATCGTAAAGGCTGACGAGGTGATGGAGTCCTATCCTTGGACAATAATTGCATCGAAAGCCACAGAGTATCTATATATTGCCATTTTATTTATACACACGTACAAAACAACGAAGAAAGAGTAAAAGTCAAAAGAACTTGCTAAAAAGCAAAGGATGCTATTCTCTTGCTGATCTATTTGAGGTCTTTGTTCCATAGACATGAACAGACTGTCCAAGCACTCCGAGCCTTCTGACATCTTCGCGGTGTACGTGGCTTGGAGCGTTCCCTTTGGCCCAGCGCGGGGAATGAATGACAAGAAGGATCGACAAAGGAATGCAAATGCTTCACGAAGGCTATCAGAGTAAGCAGAGCAAATACACGGCCATGGGTTGAGGTTGCAACCGATCCATTCGTGGTGAAGACTGTGGTGAGCCTGGCTGCAAGAGTTGGACAAAGCATGCGAAAGAAATGAATCTGAGCTCCTACCAGCATCGGTCTTTCATACTGATAAGGTTGGGTACTGCTTTTTGCATTCTGGCCCCAAGGTTGACCCTGCCTGCAGAAGTTGAGATGGAGCTAAGCGACGGATCCACCGGTGGAACGACCTGGACCTTCGACGCAGAATGACAAAAAATAGTAAATGATTAATAACGCACAAAAAAAAATATAAAGGAAAAGGTGAGCCTTTAATCCTCATGCAGTCCAGGTACACCGTGTAAACTGTTCAGCAAAGGTCTTTCAGGTTGCGCTTGAGCCTCCTGTTAACAACTGCTTTTTACTGAGCTTGTCAAGTTGCAGCAAGCCATGCCTGGCGTGACGCTGGAAGCCCAACATTCATGCGAAGCAGTGCCTGAAGCTTCGCTTGCGTTTGGTGTAAAAGAAGTGATTTGAGCAAAAAATGCTAAGTTCTTTCTGTCGAGATCAAGTTGCAATTTCCGCTGCAGCTTGAGCCCGGCCTGGCAACGAGTGGTTCCACAGTTCTTCATGCCAAAACATCACAAGACTGAGCATTTCCGTCAAGGTTCACCAACCTTCCCGCTCAGCTCGTCTCGCAAGAGCCTGCAAAACGAGCCGCTAGTGGCATACGCGTTGTCACTATTGTCCAAATGGAATGTTCTGTGCAAAGTCTCTTCATCATCTGTCTCTGCTCTGAAGCCGAGAAGAACGCTTGAGCTCCTCAGGTCATGATTGACTGTTGGAATGCCTTCCATGAGTTTGGTGTCAGAGATCTTGCTGGCTTAGCCTGATTTGGCAGGGATGTGTCTCAAGCCCTGCACGAAGACATTCATTGAAGAAGACAGGAAACAGCTTCCAAGGGTGCTGCACTTGTTTAGTCTCGTTGCGCTTCTTTGAAATGCCACTTGTGGGCATAAACAAGTGGCAGGACAGATGATCAACACTAAGATCTTGTCACTGCGTTCACTTGTATCATCTTGTATCCAATCTTACTGTACAGAAAAGCCAGGAACGATTGAAACTCAGCGGTCTGTGCAGGCGGCCAACTCAATATGGCAGCCTCATAACATGTATCAACACAGCAAGTTTCGGTTGCACCATCCCGACTTCAAAGAAACGTATGTTGCTAACATGTAAGACGGCCATTCTGCATTCAGGCAAAAATATACATCATCAACGATTGCCAGCTTCTTGCTTGCGGGTGTGCAGAGGACTGTGCAGGTAGATTCAAACGTATTCAACACTCAGAATCCACAACACCAACAGCCTCTGGATGAGCTGTTGACGAATTCACTGCAAGTTTGCATGAATTTGAGCACACAAATCCTGGTAAACACTTTGCTCACCATGCCGGGTTGAAGACCCGATGGCAATGTGCAGGATTGTGCTCCGTGCACTCCACGGACGGAGATTTCTTTATCTCTTCACCAGACCATGCGACGCAGAGCCAGACCTGTCGCAGGGATCGTTTCGCTTGTGCAAAGCCACATGAACACCCTAGAGCACAGAGCCCTAGATGCACATAACCACCAGTGTTACCAAACGACCCCGAGCATTGTGAGCCTAGTGTAGAACATCTCAACCCTCAAACCCAGAAAGCCAGACTTGGAACCTGAAGCTGATGTCCATGCTCCAGCAATCTGCAGAGAAAGTTTTGTTCGTGTGTTGATTGCATGCAACAAAACCCTATGAGACGTTCTTTTGTCGCAATGCGCTCTCAGTTTTAAAAGGTTGATCAACACTTCAATTCACAGTGGAATACATCATCAGCACTGTCGTTCAATATGTCATGCCTAGGGCCTAGGGGATTTACGTAGTCAGACCAAAATAGGGAACCATCTGGTGGTGCATGGTTTTGGCTTGGGATTTAAGTCGAATCCCATCTGTGCACCTCCCCACCTAAGAAACAACTGCAACAGCTTCAGGACGCTTTTCCCATCCGAAAGGAAAGTTTCTGCATATGGCATAGGGACGCACCAACAAACAAAGATTTGTTTGTGCAGCCACGCCTCTTCAACAAAAAGGCTGCTCTCATTCGATTCGGTGGCCTCTCTGGGTTCCAATCTTCCCTGCGGAGCGTGGCGCAGTGAACTCACTGATTTGTTGACTTCACTGTGAACTCTCTGCTTCACTTTCGGAGTTGCCAATGGTGTGACAATTTGCTCCCCAGGGCCTGAGCCATTGCATCTGCTGGGGTAGACGATCAAGCGAAGCATTTGCCGACATCCTCACCTGTAGCAGCCCAGCTTTTGCGGATACAACATGATACAACAACAGCACTCAGCACGGTTGCACACGTGTCGTGGGCCTCACCAGTGCACGTGTTGGTCGTAGCTCATTCATTCTCATCCGTACATCAACATCATCGTCGTTTTCACAAGATTGCCATGGGCTGTCATGCGTGTTGCAAACTTTGTCCTTGCGTGTGATTACGCCATTACGCCGTTGGACGCGCGCATTGCGTTCTATCCCACCACGGCGATATCCCGGTCGATACCCCCCAAACTGTCCGTGTATCGGTGCAGTTCGGTGTGTGTGTGTGTGTGTCAACCCCTGTTCCAAAGGGTGCGACCTTCCTTTGAGACAAGCAGGGGGGCAAGGCCTCCAGCGATGAACCTTGTCCAACGAAGCTAAGTCGCTGGAGGGGAAGCACTGAGAGACGTCTCGGTGTGTACCTGCTGAGTTCTCCACAAGCTGTGACCCTACTTTTCCACGGTTTGATTCATGGTTCTTTCACGATACCTTCCCCGCAAACAGGTTTCCCACCGCAGCTTTCAGCCGCTTGTGCATTGCAGCCAGCAGAGCGAGTGAAACAATTTTCAACAATTCAAGTCACCGGACCTGTTCACCTTGCTGTTCCATCACCTTCCTTCTCATCGTGGGAATTGAGGTAACAACAAACCAATGTCAGAGTGTGAGCCGCTCAGTCGTCCCACTTGGGTGCTGGGTGTGATCCCCTTCACTGGGGCGCTGAAGCCATTCGGGAAATCATTGTCTCCATTTTTGATAACTGATTCCCTTTCTCCACTTGTATAACTGAATTAACTGATCCAACCGCCGTCGGGCTTAAAAACGAAGTTGACAGCCGCCGGGCTTAAAAACGGC